AACTAGAACTGCGCAATCTGGAAGTACAAAATGAAAATCGTCATCTAAAGTTCTATTTCGCTCAAATAAAGACATAAGAGTTCGTTAAAGGTGAAACTGTGTTTCTAAGGTAATTGATCGAAGGATCGAAGGAGTTCTTGTTACTTCAATCCTGATCCTGCCATCGTAAGTTCTTGACAATTCTTGTAACAGACGCAAAGAACTATCCGTCTTTGTCTTATTTATTAAAATGAACCCGAAAAATGATAAGTTTGAACGACCAACGGCAACGTTTACGTTGCTTTTGATAACCGCAAATTTATTGCAAATTAGAAGGCTGATATCTTCATTGTTATCTCGATTAAGAACTAGCAATTTACCCTGAAAAAAGCTTGTTTATATCCTAATTGATTCCCTTAATAAAAAAATAGGGGAAATTTAACCGTTGATATATAAAAAAAAGCGCCACTGATAGTCTGAACAGTTCAGCCATTGCTGAGGACCAGTCCGTTTAGGGAATACGGGAGGTGTTAATTGAGAGAGATGAAGAAACTATTCCTGCCGTCTAAATAAAGTTATTCCCATGTTTCTTGTTTATTTGGTACAAATACCCAACATCTTAAGACATGTTAAACAAATGTTGATACGTGATTTCTGGAGAAATCTTAAAATGACATGGATCATTTTGTTGTTAAACTGTAAATATTCTTCATAAACACGCACTCAATTTCTTTTTTCTAAATCAGAGTATTTTGAAGATCACCCAGAACATAGGAACTCAAGTTTTATTCTAATATAGAAAAAAAACTGTTTATTTTACCCAGTTTACGCGCCTACAAACTATCGCAGAATTACCGACCAACATAATGCAATCTCTGTTGAGTACAAATATGCAAATTAGGTCAGGTTTCAAATGAAGTTCTCTTAAACTCCCCATATAAAAATCACCCACCTCAGCTTCTATTGTGAAACAGTTGTGTATCCAGGTAGAATTTGAAGCCTGAGCGATGAACGTCGTGGACATCACGAGGATGACTGATCGAGAAGCTGATGTGAAATGAACATCCTTTCCCGTTCGCTAACTTGCAGCGTGCGCATCCGCTAATTAAGTTTATTCACTCAATCCTACCGTGAACAGGGTGAAGAATTTTCCTTGCTGTGGTTTGAATTGAGGTAAGTGGTTTTATTTTATTTCTATCTTTACTTCTTTAGCAATATTACCTGTACCGTCAGCGTACCTCAGAAGAGTTTCTGCTTCTAAAAGGGTAGCGGAACAAAACTTGAGCTGAAATTGATTACTTGATAACTGAATTGCTCGTAGAGATTCAATTCAAACTTGTCCTTCTTGATTTTTATTTCAGAGCTTTTGATTTGCTCATCGATGTCCAGTTCTGAATGGCTTTTATAGAGACAAAGAGAACGTAACAATGGGTAGATGTGGGTTATCAAAGTTTGTTACGGACAGCTGTGGACAAATTAAAGCATAGCATCAAGCGAGTGAGTATCGCTTTCACAATGCACCAGAGATAAAAGGCCACATCTCAAAGGTTTCAACGTTATCGACGCTTCGCTTAAAAGGGAAATTCAGCTTCTTTGGGCAAGAGTTGGTACTTATTCTAATTACTTCTCAATTTCATTGTAAACATTTTCGCCCCGTAATTTCATGTTCTATACCCGCTGTATCGACGCTTTCTAGAAAATACGACAGACTTATCCTTAGCGCCCGGTAATCTGGGTTCTAAGCTGGGAAGTGACTTGAAACGGAATATTCCGGAGCGGGTAATCTTCGTTTGGGGAAAGGACATCCTGCCGTTTACATAGTTGACATGAAGAATCAAACGAAGCGGACTTTTAGAAGAGTACAATACGACTTATTACACTGAGGGTTTCTTTTTCTGTTTTTTCATTTTTTCGATCGTACCTAATCTCTGATGCGACAGGGAATTTTCCCTGGGCTGATCGCTGTGCATGACTTTTTTGAGCAATTCTGCCCTTGTCAAAGTTTTTAGTTTTGCTTTTGGTAAATACCCCATTGTAACGTTTTTAACTGTAATTTTCTAAGGAAGGGAGGCGTTTTCAACTTACTGCACGAAAGTATGGGAGAGTTGTAAGAGTAATGAAAATTCCTCGAGATGTTGATGGTCAGAGACAATTCTCACACGATGAGGATTTGTTCTCCAGGCAAATTCAACGTTTCTTTTCACGGCGGGGAAAATGCGAAAACTCAGAAGCCCAGTCAGTTTCCGACCAGGACTATGAAACAGCTAAAGAAGCGCTGACAACCTTACGAAATGTAGAGAAGTATATACAGTCCAAGAACCCATTCATGTACGATGGTTACAATCTTTGCCACCTCGTCACTTCACAGGAGCTGAGTAAATTAAAAATCAGTCAACTAAAAGAAATTTGTCGTTCGTTTAAACCGGAAGTGCCTTCTCAACAAGGAAAACGAAAAGCTGCGTTTGTTGGCGCAATAACTAAAATGGTATAGGAGTGTTCCTGCTACCACACAACCACGTCTTCTGTGAGCCCATGATATAATAATTGTATTGTGATAACTTGCAAAACTACTTGCCTTAGAGTTTTGCAAAACTTTATTTTTGTTTTCTCATTAAGAGTTACCTTTCGCTGTAGCTACATTTTGCTGCAGAGCAGACGGAGATCCGCGGCCTAGCTGTGAACTAGCTAGGTGTAGCTAAGCGTATTGACCACTATAAAACAAACACACTAACATTTTGGCCCTCCCCTACACAAGACTCCAAGCCAGAAAAAATGTAGATTTACAGCTAGACGGAAAGTATCATCTTACCGTTTCTTCGGTCATTAATGAACCATCAAGTTTAAACAACTTAGATCCTTCTAAAAGATTACGCCGTGTTAGTTATACCTTGAAATTGACAGTGTGTGTTTGACACCTAGTCCGTACACAACAGTCCACAGTCGGGAGCTCATATTTTACACTGACCGTATCTCCATACCAACTTTACGGTATCATATCATCCTTACCAATAGGCCCTTTGCAGGATCCGCTCACATGGTACGGAATTAATTTCGCTGGGACGCAATCACGCAGTGGGACTTCCAAAAGAAAAGAACTCGTACCAGTGCAGCCAGACTTTCCTTTGTTTTGGAAGTCCCACTGTGTAACTGGTATTCCAGTGTAATTAATTCAGTACCATGTAAGCGCATCGTGCAAAGGGCCTATTATAAATAAACTTGCAGTTCCACCAACAAATACTTCTCAAAAGTGCCACTTGATACTACTGT